AATCTTGTGGTACAAATTAGGGTTTGAATGTTTTGCAGATAAATTAATTGAGATATTTGTGAAGAGGAAGATGAGAGATGACGAATTGAAGGTGTTTAAAAGGCGCAGCCTTTTCGTACTGGTTTTCTGTCCCACATCGGCTGTGGAACAATTGGGTCCTCAAAAACCCTAGATATCAAATCAATATATATCGGAATTAATGTTTCAATTTCTTTATTTTTTACACCAAAAAAAAAACCCTAATTTTCAAGTTTTCGATTGTTCTTCCACTGGTCTGAGAATATGGTATTGGGGTTTTAATTTAGAAGATCGTGTTTGGAACTTTGGATTATGATTCGATATTAGGTAATAGATTGAAGAAGGAAAAAAACAGTAACAAGGTTTTCTACTTTCTTCTCTTTATTTTTATTTATTTTATTTTATTTTTTATTAACTTTTTTTTTTCTTGTGAATACAACATGTGAAGAGTGGAGATTCGAATTCACGGTCTTTTGATCAGGTGTCTTAATTAACTAGTGCTACGCTCAGGTTGACTTTAATTTTTAGAGTTTGTTTGGTTAAAATTAGTTTTTGAATTGTCAATTACCTGACTATAGCTGAATTGGTTAAGGGACGTAAGTTCGAACTCCTACCGTACCAAGCAAAATTAGTTTTTTAATTTGATATTTCAATTTTAGTTTAGTATAGAATCAAATCATGGATTTTACTGTGTGGTGAAATTAATACCTTTTGTTGGTTCATGAAGTTTAGAAATTAAATTCCCAATATATAATTGTAGCTATATTCTTTAGTACGAGTGTTTGAACTTCCAACTTCATGGGAATGAGTAGAAGTTAATGTTGGCATAATTATAACTATGCTTAATTAAATCTAGATATATTTCGTCGATTTTTATAAGGATGACTTCTACTTAATTTTATCACCAACATGAACATAATTTAATTAGTCGAGACATAATTTATCTTGGACCTAGAAGGCTGGAAACCCATATTATGTTGGTAAACTAAAAAAAAAAACTATTAGGGGAGAGTTTTAGTTTTAACTTCTTGTTTAAATTAATAATTCAATTTATGAGAAATAAAAGATTTGAAGTTAAATTTTGACTATTAAATAGCGAAAAAGGTGAATTTCTTGCCCTTCCCCCCAAAACAATGTTTTATCCATGATTACAGGTCTCTGCAAGAATCAGTTCTGTATTTTTTTCCCTCTCCAATAATATATCTATTTTATTTTATTTTCAAACTATTTATAATTATATATACTGTCCAGGTTAAAAATTATTATTATTATAAAATTGGAGACTTTGAAATGAAAAATAACTTCATTATCGTTTCAAATATTATGTAACAGTTGAAAACAGTACACTGCAAAAAAGGGGGGGAAAGGGAAGGAAAAAACAAACTTTTAGAGAATAATTATATATCAAGACATACTTTTACCAACTTTTTTTTTTCCCTTTTTAATTAAAGAACAAAAATTTACTATTTTGAAAATAATTCTGGTATCAAATTTTAGTTAAAAAAAAAAAAGAAGAAAAATGGTTTAATTGTAGAACTTCATTAGGCAAATTAAATGAAAACCACTCAGACACAAAAACATAACTAAGGATGGGCAAAATTTTCCATCGTAAAAATTTATATTAAATATGATATTTCATTTTTAAATTTGTATGGAAGGTAAACTAGAATATGGTTTTTAAATTTGTATGGAAGGACTGTTAATAATGGTTTTTTTTTTAATTATTTCCCAAAATATACTCTTTATCAAACTATTTTCTAAAATAATGCTTAAAAAATAATTGACTGTCTCTCCGAGGGACGATCTGGTTACGTGGTAGGGATGGTCATCTCTTGATCAAGAAACGACATGCAATAGTTGAATTTTTGTTTTTTAATCTCATTATGTCGTTTCTTAAAAAGACGACCATCTTTACATGTTAGCCACGTATAGTAACTAGAATGGACGTTTTGAAATTTAAACTATTGTTTTTTTTTTTGGGTTGGTGAAGAAGAAGCATGTGAAAGAAAAAATGTCACACTCACAGTCAGGTCAGCTGAAGAAACTGTTTGAGGCAGTACAATAATATATGATCAAGAAAATACATAAACAATACTGCTTCTTTGGTCATTTATTGTACCATTTCCACATAATGCCTGCATCTTTTTCCTTTTTCTTTTTTTTTTTTCAATTTTCTCTCTCTCTAACCCCATTTTCCAATCTTCCAAAATTAATTATAGAGAGAGAATGGAAACTTAATCAATAAACTGATCCTGTCAAGCAATAAATACACAACATATAACTTATTAGAGACAGACACAGAGATTTGGACAAGTTAATTAGTTTTGATGTTCTTCATGTCTTAGGTTTCTATAATTGTCTGTGTTTAACAGCTTATGTGTATCTCACTGAGACACAGAATATTTAATTAATGCAATCCTGTTTGTTTCATTATGTATTTTTTCCACTCTAATGAGCGAAATGTAACGATTTTGAACTTCAGTTTATAATAATTTCATTGATATTCTATTTAATAATTTAGTTGTTTTGCTCAACTTTAGTAGGCAACAAATTGGTTCCTTGTAATTTAAAATTTACAATAATTTAGTTCTTATTGTGGAAAATGTTGTTGAGATTTGATGAAGTTTCATATATAAATATGTGTAAATCGATAAACTGACGAGGGACTCAACAAATGTGTTTATAAACTACATAAACTAAATTATTACATAATAAAATCAATACTTAATTTTTATGAGAATTTTTGCGGGATAGAAACTAAATTATTACTAATTTGGAAGTGTAAGGATTAAATTGTTACCAACTAAAGTTTATAGACTAACCCATTACTCTAATAAAAGTATAATAGGGCCTAAAAGTGTTTTTAAATATAAACAAAACTATAGGTTAATTTATTATAAGTTTTGGTCTGTAAATAGATTTTGACTACATCGTATTTAATAAATCTCCAAATTTTAAAAAGTGTAGAATATGTCCATAAATTTTTATTACTGTATCTAGTAGGTCTTTAGTGTTTGATAGATTTTTTAATTTTGAATCTTGTATCTCATAGATCTTTTAAATTTTAAATTTTGTGTTTAGCGGATATTTTGAGTTGTGAACTTTCTGAAAGTGTATGACCAAACTTATAATTTAATCTTAAATAAAATATAAAGTTTATGACCGAACTTATTATATTTTATTTTTCGAGTTTAAGTTTTAAGATGAAGTATTTACCTAAATAGCATAAAATTAGTATATATTTTCAAATATAGTTAGAAAGTTTAAAATAAATATAAAAAATTCCAAAATCCAAATCTAAAACACACCAAGAAAGTTAGATTTATGCTTTTTTTTTAAGAGACATTTTTTCTTTTTAAGAAACACTTAACCAAATAAATTCAATTAACTGTAAATATAACAACAACATTTTAGATTTGTGAATGTATCGAAGGAAAGTTAGATTTATGCTTTTTTCTTTTTTACGAAAAATTGAAAGTAGCTTGGAACATCTATCCATAATCAATTTATTACTGATATAATTTAAAAATAAAACTACATAAAAATGTTTAAATAGGCGGACACAAAATTTAAGAATCTGTCATAATTGTAAAATCATAATTTTATTGCTATTATTTATAGCTAAATGAATTGCCACCCATTGATATTTCTCCTTTTAAAAAACAAATTAAATGAAATTTATGAGGCTATATATATATTAAAAAAAAAAAGAAGATCATAAAAATTACAAAGTGCATGCTCAAGTAACAGAAATATTTTATGTACTAAAAAAGCAGAAATATTTTATAAATAGAAAATAAAAACAGAATCAATCATATATATATATATATATATATATATATATATTCCTTCAATTTTTTGACGGGGGTATTTTCTCATTTATTAATTCACAAGACAAAAATTTAATTTTGTTAAAATGCATAAAAGTTTTTTAAATTCAATTTAATTTTTAAAACCGAAACTAACTTTTATCCTATGTAACACCATCATCTTAATTAAAAAAAAATTTAAACTAAACTGCCTAAAATAAATATGTATTTGAAGTAAAAAAATATGTATTTATAAAAATATCATTACTTTTTATTTTTTGAAAAATGTCACATAAATAATTTTTGATTGGTCTCATGTAATTATAAAAGTTTGCAACTTATGCTATTTTTGTAAAATTTTAAAGCTAATGTTATATATAAAAATACATATTCATTTTATTTTATTTTTTTAATTATCTCTTAAAAATATGACTTTTGTACTTAAAAACACTATAATTTAAACTTCATGATCTCGTTGTATCAATATTTACTCATAGTATGGGATAAGGGATCAAACTCATAACCTCCTTATTGGAGATATATGTCGGTGGAGTTATGTTCCCTTTGCCCAGCCACTTTGTTTTGAATTATAATATTAATATTATGAAAAAACAAAAATTGTAACTCCTAAACTTGACCTGTCCAATTTATGTAATTTGTCTAGTATAAATCTCCTAAAATTAAATTCAATCCATACATAACAACTATCGAATATATTTATACCAAAGCGAGCTTAACTCAATGGTAATTGACATATATCTAAGAGACTGTGAGATTGAACCACATCGCACGTTCCACGTGTTGTACTTAAAAAAACTACTGAATATATTTATGAAAATTCTTAAACTTAAAAAAAAAATCAAATCTAATATCAATTTTCTTTATTCATCAATTTCACGATAAACATATAAACGCACGAGATAATATTTTTTTCTAACGATTTTTCTAAAGAAACCAATCAGAAGATTAAAATTGCAACAACCATTCAAATATCGAGTAAAGATTGCAACAATCATTCAAATTTAAAACGTAGTTCGATGAAATTAAAAGTTTTTGGTAAAAATTGAATTTTATCCCAAACTTTGGGCTACGAGAATCTGGACCAACTTTTGTAAAGCCCAAACGCAGGCCCATCAGGAAATTGCCCGGGCAGCTAAAATCCTGAAATTCCCTCGCTTTGCCTCTCTCGCTCTGTTTTCGCTCGTTTTCTGCTCGAATCCCCAATGAAGTTGAAGAAATTCGTATCAGTTCCCATTTTCTGTGTGTTTTCCTTGATGGGTTTTGTGTATTACATCACGGTGTTCATTTTCATCGAGGATTGGACTGGTTTGCTTTCTTCTCCCGGGTTGCTCAACTCTCTGATTTTCACTTCCTTGGCTTCCCTATGCCTTTTCTCTTTCGCCACCTGTGTTCTCACCGACCCGGGTTCTGTTCCCTCTTCCTATTTGCCCGATGTTGAAGAAAATGCCGGCTCAGATCAAGATGCCAAGTGTACCGTAAGTTTGGGGACTCGTATTATGTGAAGAATTTTAGAATTACGAGCTAGATTTCTTTGTTTTCACCGATTCTATGCTGTGGATTTGTGGTTTCTTCTGATTTTATGCTTTATTTATGAGGTTATTGGTTTATCAATTAGCTGCTTCTCAGGCTAATTTGTATTGGTTGTGTTTGTATGGGCATGAATTGCTAATTACACGTATGTTGGGGTATGGGTTTTGAGCCTCAGTTGATATTAGTGATCACATTTTCCAGGAAAGAATTCTTATTGTCTGATATATTTGGTAAAAGATGTTAAGAGTCAGATTGAAACACATTTTATTTGTTATCTTCGTTTTGTTTTTATTTGAGGACTACAGATACTGTAGAAATGTATGATTTATTGATATATGTAGCCACCGAAAGCCCAAAAAAGGATCTTTGTCCTCATTTGAATTTATTCTTATTTCATATTTGTCTCGTAGAAGACTTAATTAAGCCTCTATTAGTTCAGATAGATATTTGATTGTAACATGTAATATCTTGTATTTCTTAGCCATACTGCTTTATGGCTTAATATATAATATCATATTAGTGGAGTCATGATCTCAAGCAAGGTAGTTAGAGATTGCAAAGCCTGCTACATTAACTACGTGGCAAGGTGCAAAGCGATAATTTTTCACAGGGAGGGAAAGTAGAGAGAAAACTTTAAAATCTTAAGGTTTTTATATAATTTTCTTAATCTAAGACGATCGAGAGGGGAACACTTGCCCCTTTCTTTCCCTCTTCACTCTGCCTCTTCTTCCTGATTGATTGCATACTTTAGAGGATGATCATATTTCGAAGTTTAATGGATACAAAGGAGATTGGACGGTAATTTAGTGGCGGAGCAATCATTTGGCCAAATCCTATTCTAACTGTGAACTTTTAAATCCTATATTTAATAGGACAATGAGGAAACACATAGCCTTATTCTCAGAAGTCCATATAGTTTTGAAGCTCAAGTATGCTACTTGTTTGTCGATGACCAATGGTGTTAATGGACCTTTTAATGCAGGCTGATGCCGCTGATCATTATACATATCTGTATCTCTCTCTTTCTTAATATCGAAGGTACTATCCTGTTGAGTAAAATCCAAACCTAGAATCCAGTGGCACCTTTAAGACTTGTAATTGTACCACGAACCAATCTTTCTATATGTTAGGCATTTGACATGCACCAGGAAAAGTAATTTTTTTGTGAAGCAAACAGGAAATTATTCCAGTTGTTTACTTTAGAATATGGATTATTTTGGACTCATTGATTTGATTAACAGGCTTTACAGATGAAGCATTGTGAAAAGTGTAGCACCTACAAGCCTCCAAGGACCCATCATTGTCGGGTCTGCAGAAGGTGTGTTTTGAGGATGGTAAGTTCTGCTGTACCAAGACGTCAAAAATTGAACTCTAACTCTTCGTTTTGAATATGGATAATCTGAATCCCTGTGGTTTTTTGTTCCATTTCACTTGAGCTTAAATTGGATGCAGGATCATCACTGTTTGTGGATAAATAATTGCGTTGGTTATTGGAACTACAAGTCCTTTTTTGTCCTTGTCGCATATGGGACTATGGCAAGCATACATTCCACGGTATGCCTTTTTCAGTTTAATTTTTTTCATTCAACAGTATGTATAATTGTTTGCTTATGACTCTAGCTTTGATTGCTTAGTTCATCATTGTGAGCTGTGCATTCCAGAAGAACTGGAATCTTGAGGGAATGCTTCCTGTAAAGATTTTCTATGTAAGCTGTTTGTTTATATAACCCGGTTCCATTTTCACTACTCATAATATCATAATTTTGCATTCATCTGGTTAAGCACTTTGAGCTTAGTCTATAGTCCATCAAAGCTGTCTGCGTCACCAATTTTAGTCCTCGTCCAATCTACTAGTTTATTTCGCTTAATCAACTCATGCTTCTAATCCATCTTCAACTTCATCATATTAGTTGCTACTTGGTATAACTATAAGGTATAGAGAAATTCTAACTGGCATAACATATTCCCAATAAAACCATTGCAGCTGGCCAAATTTTATGGGCAAAAAGATTTAGTTAACTTTTATGTTTTAGGTCATTTGCGGGGCGATGGTGATCTCCTTGACCACGACTCTTGGAACTCTTCTGGCCTGGCATATCTACCTCATAATTCGGAATATGACAACTATAGAGGTACAATATGGGTTTCTACAGTTGGATACTTGGACTTATATGCATGAATTTACTTCCCCCAACGATTATCGAGTGAGAATTGTGTTTCTTTTGACCAGTATTACGAAGGAATACGGGCAGCATGGTTGGCGAGAAAGTCCGGACAGAGCTACCAGCACCCATTCGATCTTGGTGCTTATAGAAATATAACCTTGGTTGGTATCTTATATTTCTTATCCCCTTTTGTCTGCATATATGTGTCTGTCTTAACACACATGTTCCCATGTGTTCTCTCCATCCTGAATGTTGGGTTATTACAAAGTTCTTTTTGTGTCTTATATTATTTGAAAACATTGAATCTATGATCTGTCCATATGGTTAGTCATCTGAGTTCTTAACGATAAAACGCTGTATTTCTATAGATATCATTTCTATTCCAAGAATTGAATCACAAATTCTGAACTCTTTAAAACAAAACAAAGTAACCCATCTGGGGTGTTGATATTGTTATCAGGTCTTAGGTCCAAACGTTCTGAAATGGGCATGGCCTACTTCAGTAAGCCATCTAAAAGATGGACTCAGTTTCCCGACTTTACGCGATAGCTCATGAACAAGTTCGGCCGAGCTGATTCTCGTTCTGAATTTGTTTCAAGAATACACTCAAGGCTGCCAAGTTTAGAGAAGCTGTGTTCTTCTTAATCTGTAGATAAATACGCCGCAATTTCTCCACTCTCATCAGCTTAGAAAGGTAGCAAAATGAAGAGATGGGGTTCTCTTGATCCTCCTAAAGTCTCCAACCTCATAAACAAGGGAAAATTTGTATACTCGCAGTTCTGTATTTAAAATAAGGATTGATGTAGAGTTATAGTATCGAAATACCATTCCAGTTTTAAACCGCTGTAAAGAATTCGGGAAGTCGCAGGTTCTGTTTGATAATGTTTTTTTCGAACTTGAGGAGGGAATAAATTATAAAAATAGTTGTTTATTCAATATTTTGAGATGCCATACTATTTAGATGAAATGGATAGATTTTAAATTTGAAATTGGAACAGAATAGCCATATCCTTGGAGACCAACTTGAAATCTTGTTTGTTTGAATGTGGGAAAGATGAGTAGGAGCTTACTAGGTTTTGTGGAATGTGTGAAGAACAAAGCCAAAAGCAGAACCACACTTATCCTATAATAATTTACCACTATCATTGTTCCACTATTTTGATGAACCAAAATGTTGGGTATCAATCATTCCACATGTTGCTAAGTTTGTTCTTTTTCCCCTTGCATTTCCTTTACACAAATCATAAGAAATGACTTGCGCGATATTTTAATTTAGTTTTACTAACTCGTTATATCAAAACAGGAGATTAGAGTCAACTTGAACTTAACTTAATTGGTTAAGGCATGTATCTCCAACCAAAATGTCGTATGTTCGAACTGCAACTTCTATGTATTAAAAAACAAAGAGAAAAAAAAAGAAGATTAGAGTTTATTTATGTTTTATTGATGTGATTGATCGAGGTATCATATATATTGCAAATTAAGCACAAGATAATATATTGCAAATTAAGCACAAGATAATATATTGCAAATTAAGCACAAGATAACATGTGCTGACTTTTATTTTCAATGGAAATCAATGTCTAGCTTATTTTGTCCTATATCGATATAGATACATTTGAATCCATGAAAGTAAATGCATATGCAATGTTTAAAGTTGTACTATTTTTGTACCTATTCTAAAAGCACAAACAAATTAAAAAAGGAAAATTTTATTAAAATTGTTTTTTTAGTACAACGTGTGATAGAGATTCAAATCTACAATTTTTTAATCGAGATATATACCTTAACTAATTGAACCTGGTTATTAATGACGTTTTGGAACTATAAATACAATCATACAAAGTTGTAAAATATGAATGAAAGAACAGATCAAGATTCAAGATTGAATTATCTCCCTATCCTTGTTGGAAATGATGTTAAAATCCCATCTTTCAACTTGGAAACAACCAAGATCTTATCACATCCCCATCACAACATTCTAACTTTCAAACCATACTTACCAATATGCCCCAAATTTCAAAATTCTTCCCGTCAATTTGAACATAACTCAATTGATTAAAGCGTAAATTCGAGCATGTCTCCGTAAATAAGGCATCTATTTTTACTCCAAAGGTCAATGGTTCAATCCCCACCTGAACTAGAGGCACTATTCATCATTCTAAAAAATTAGACGTTTGAATTCTCACCCAGATTGTTGAACTGAAAAAAATTTCTCTTTTATTCATGTTATAATAGGGGGCTTGATAAAATTATACTACTAAGTTGTCGTTTGAACCAAAGACATTTATCGAAACATATAATTTTCAAAAATTTTGCGATTTAGAAAATTGTAAAGTCTCTCATCAAAGCACCCTCGAGCTCACACAAAAATTGAAACAACATTCCGTAGATTGAACCATAGTGAAAAACTTAATAATGAACATGTATTGAATTTTAATTTTATCGAGACTCGAT